TGAATTCAAGTACTACATTAGATATGAAGATTACTTAAAAATAAAATCTTAGGGGAAAAAAAGAGTACTTCTTACTACTTTAAATCTAATTGAATCCAAGACCAGTTTGTTTTGAGCAGGTCATGATCCCAGGGTCCTGGGACCGAGCCCCACATTGGGCTCCCTGCTCGGCAGGAGGTCTGCTTCTCCTTCTCCCACTTCCCCCTGCTTATGTTCCCTCTCTCGCTGTTTCTCTGTCAAATAAATAAACAAAAAATCTTTAAAAAAAAAAAAAAAAGTATGGTAATTCTAAAAGAGGAGATGGGGCCTTGGCCCAACATAATCCCTCTTGTTCATTCCTTTGCTGTCTATACTCTAGCCACACAAACATTCTTTCAGTTCCTTAAATGTATCAGGTAGGCCTTCCCCTGCCTAGCAAGGTCCGTGACATGCTCTTCCCCTGGCCTGAAATACCCTTTCCCCTTTCTTTACTTGGTCTACACCTTAGCTTTCAAATCTCATCTCAGTTCCTCAAGGAAGCTTGCCCTAATCCTCTAAATTAGGCCAGCCCCCGTCATATGTTTTCATTTACACTACTTTTCCTTCAGGCCATTAATCACAGTATATAATTCACTCCACTTATCAAATATGTAATTACATATTTGGCCATTATTTCATTAATGCTGTTTTGGCCACTAAATTCTAAACACCAAGAGGGCAGAGACAGTCTTTGCTCACAAATGTTTAACAGCTGGGAAATCATGAGAATATTACTAAACACAAAATAATAAATGTGGAATGAACAAAGGAATGAATGGGAAAATGGGTGACTTAATAAAGGATAACAACTTTTGATTCTAGGTGACACTAGGAACCTGACAGAAAGTTAAGAGGAAAAACTGAGGGAGTGTCAAGGCAGTTCAATAGGGGAAATGATAATCTTCTCAACAAATGACAACTGGGGGATGCCTGGGTGGCTCAGTTGCTTAAGTGTCTCTCTTTGGCTCAGGTCATGATCCCAGGGTCCTGGGATTGAGTCCTGTATTGGGCTCCTTGCTCAGGAGGGAGCCGGCTTCTCCCTCTGCCTGCTGTTCGCCCTGCTTGTGCGCTCTCTGACAAATAAATAAATAAATCTTTTTTTTAAATGACAACTGGATATTCATATACAAAAAAATAAATTTGGGCTCTTGTCTCACTCCATATTTAAAAATTACTCAAGATGAATCAGCAAACTAAATGTAAAAGGAAAACTATAAAATTTTCAGGACAAAAAAAACCAGAAAAGGCTCTTAAAAGCTTGGTGCCAGGGGCACCTGGGTGGCTCAGTTGGTTAAGCAACTGCCTTTGGCTCAGGTCATGATCTCAACATTCTAGGATGGAGCCCCTCACTGGGGTCCATGCTCAGCAGAGAGCCTGCTTCTCCCCCTCCCTATGCTGCTCCCCTACTTGTGCTCTCTCTAATAAATAAAAATAAAATCTTAAAAAAAAAAAAAAAAAAGCTTGGGACTAGACAAAGATTTTTAAAATATAACACCAAAAGCACAATCCATTAAAAAATTTTGATAAACTGGATGTCATCAAAATTCAGAACTTCAGCACTTCAAAAGACAGCATTAAGGGGAAAAAAAGACAGCATTAAGAAAATAAAGAAAATTCAAAGACTAGAAGAAGTATTTCCAAAACATATCTAAGAAAGAATCTGTATCTAGAATTTACAAACTCTTCTGATTCAATAAGAAGACAAACAACCTAATTAAAAATTGATTAAAGATATGAATAGCTATTTTACCAAAGATATTCAAACAGCATGAAAAGACGCTGAACATTGTTAGTCATTAGGGAAATACAAATCAAAACCACAATGAGATACCATTTCACACCCACCAGAAAGGCTATACTCTAAAAGACAGACAATAATATATACTGGTGAGCATGTGGAGAAATTAGAACCCTCATATGTTGCTGGTGGGAATAGTAAATGAAGCAATCATTTTAGAATGCAGTTTGGCAGTTCCTCAAAATGTTAACGAATTATCATTAAGACCCAGCAATTCTACCCCTAGGTATCTTCCCAAGAGAAATAACACATATCCAAACAAAAATGTGTACACCGATGTTTTTAGTAGCATTATTCAGAATGGCCAAAAAGTAGAAACAATCTAAATATCTATTAAGTGATAAAATGGATCAACAAAATGTGGTATACAATGGAATACTATTCAACAATTTAAAAAGAATGAAATATTGATATATACTAAAACATAAATGAACCTTGAAAACATTACGAGAAAGAAGTTAACATAAAAGACCACATACTGTATGATTCTATTTATATGACATGTCCAAAAATGGCAAATATATGGAGATCTGCCTGGGAACAAGAGTAATTAATTGGGGAATTAAATCTAAATAGCCGAGGAACATTTAGGAATGATGAAAATGTTCTGAAACTAGAGTATGAATAGTTACACAACTCAGTAATAAACGTACTAAAAATCATTGAGTTGTATATTCAAAATGTGAATTTTATAATAGGTAATTATGTAAATCAAGTAAATTTTTTTCAAAGATTTATTTGACACAAGTAGGCAGAGCAGCAGGCACAGGGAGAGAGAGAAGCAGGCTCCCCAACCAGCAGGGAGCCTGACTCGGGCTGGATCCCAGGACCCTGGGATCATGACCTGAGCCAAAGGCAGCCACTTAACCAACTGATTCCAAGTTAATTTTTTTTTTTTAAAACTAGAGGAACTGGGGGATGAGCACAGGACAGCAGAAGTTTTGCATTTAAGACTTACTCAAGCTATTAACATGATAGCCAAGTATCCGGGACAATTAGAAAGTTGAGAGAGATGCCAGACTACAGAGATTTAGTAATACAGATTTTGGAGCCACCAGGAAAGACATGACAAAGGGACTTTTACACATGTCTTCAACTCTGTACAAATCAATCTACCCTGAAAAGATTTTCCCTTGACTATGCTAATTTTCTATTTTTCCTTTTCAGAGTTCTTCAACCACTGATTTTTATCCATTGCTTTCATTTCTTCCACTACCCTATTCTTTTTTATTCTATCAAAGTCTGTGTTCCTTCCTTATCTCATTGTTGAAGCTATTCTCTCAACTAATGGTACCCCAATTTCAAAACCAGTGGCCTTTTCTCTACTCCCATTCTTTTTAACTTACCTGCAAGAAGGCTGGTCAAACTCCGACCCCTGAAACTCGTCTCTTAGCTTGTACTACCTTATACTATTTTTAGTCCTCTTCCCACTTCTCTATTTATTTTATTTACCAAATACTTTTACCTCCCAACCTCACTCACTTTATCAAACTAAGGAAGAACCTATGCTCCAAAAACAAGAGAGAATTTGGTATTTATTTCTTTCTTCTTCTCACAAAATCTGTTTATTAACCCTAACCAGCTTCAAGTTACCATAGTATATTCATCTCCATTAATTGTCCTTACAGTATTTTTCAGGTCTTTGTCCTACTTTGCCAATAAGAAAATAAATTCAAGAACATTAACTTGGGGGCGCCTGGGTGGCTCAGTGGGTTAAGCCGCTGCCTTCAGCTCAGGTCATGATCTCAGGGTCCTGGGATCGAGTCCCGCATCGGGCTCTCTGCTCAACAGGGAGCCTGCTTCCCTTCCTCTCTCTCTGCCTGCCTCTCTGCCTACTTGTGATCTCTGTCTGTCAAATAAATAAATAAAATCTTAAAAAAAAAAAAAAAAAAAAAGAACATTAACTTGGCTTTTCTCAATTTTGTAACCACCAAAATCAATCCATGGAAAATTATACGGACAATGAATGGAATTCAGCGTCTGTTTGTAACTCATAAAAAATGAATGGGATTATCCTTTTTTTTTTTTTTAAGATTTATTTATTTATTTATTTGACAGACAGAGATTACAAGCAGGCAGAGAGAGAGAGGAGGAAGCAGGCTCCCTCTGAGCAGAGACCCCGATGCGGGGCTCGATCCCAGAACCCTGGGATCATGACCTGAGCCGAAGGCAGAGGCTTTAACCCACTGAGCCACCAGGCGCCCCTGAATGGGATTATCCTAAGCAGATCCCTAGGAAGATACTTTTCCCAGTCTGAAAACTTTATTTATTTTTAGATTTTTTTAAAAAGATTTTATTTATTTATTTGAGAGAGTGAGCAAGAGAGAGAGAAAGAACAGAGGGAGAGGGAGAGTCTGCTGAGCACGGAGCCTGATGTGGTGATTCGATCCCAGTACTACAGGATCATGACCTGAGCCAAAGGCAGATGCTTATTGACTGAGCCACCCAGGTGCCCCAGAAACTTTAAAAATAATTAGAGGGATGGAGCGCCTGGGTGGATCAGTGGGTTAAGCCTCTGCCTTTGGCTCAGGTCATCATCTCAGGGTCCTGGGATCGAGCCCCACATCAGGCTCTCTGCTCAGCAGGGAGCCTGCTTTCCCCTCTCTCTCTGCCTCTCTGCCTACTTGTGGTATCTCTCTCTCTCTCTCACTCCCCTCCCCGGCCCCATCAAATAAATAAATAAAACTTTAAAAAAAAAAATAGAGGGTGCCTGGGTGGATCAGTCAGTTAAGCATCTGCCTTCAGTTCAGGTCATGATCCCAGGGTCCTGGGATCGAGTCCCACCTCTGGCTCCCTGTGCAGCGGGGAGTCTGCTTCTCCCTCTGCCCCTCCCCCATGCCCATGCTCGCCTGCTCTCGTGCTCTCTCTCACAAACATAAATAAAAATATTATAAATAAATAAATATAAACACAATCAGAAAACTAAGAATTTTGTGTGATCTTTTCATATTTACATTTAAAGGTATAACCGTTTCCTGGCAATTATTCTCAGATGACTAATAATATTGAAATAAAAAATATTTAAGTTCTAGAAAGCCAACAAAAATTTCTCAATTTCTAAAATCTGGAATCACAAAGTACAAAACTATAAATCTCAAGTAACATCTATAAAACACATGGCTGTAGGCCATTCTCCTATAGACTATTTCAGTCAAACTTTATTACTTTCAAAAAATTAACTTACCAAATCCCAAAGTCCAACTTGCCCAGATTTGGCCCCAGCTGCCACCAAAGTTCTAATTTCTGATGGGTGGAGAGCCACAGAAAATATTGCACCTCTGGTGACTTTATGAACAGTATCTTCATTAATGACCATGCCACTTAAATTGGCTTTATAGCTGAGGAAAAGATGTTAAATTTTAGAAGTAAAACCAATCAGTAGTCAAAGTAACTAAAAGATGACTCAAAAAATAAAAGAGACACAGTTAGTGAAAACAGTCAACCTCCTAACAATCAAGGAAATCAAATTAAAGAATGGGATACTATTTTTCACTTACAAAAGGTAGCAGGCTGCAGTTAAAACATACATTCACTAACAGTGCTAGTGGCGAGTAAATTCATATGAGATTTTTAGAAGAAAAAGATTTTAGAAAACAATTCAGTAATGTATACTAAAGCCAGAAAAATGTCCATTAATACTTGAGTCATTAATCTCACTTCTGGAATCTATCCTAAAGAATTAACCCATATGTGTACATATATATATGTATATATGTACACATATAACTAAATACGCAACTAACCACACAAAACTAAACTGAATATAATTCCAAATACCAACAAAGTCAGAAAAAGTTAAGTAAATGAAATAGTATGCAATTAATCAATAAATTTAAAGACTCTAATAACATAATAATGTTTTATAACTATAATATTAATGAAATGCATAATGCAAATTTATATATACACTATAATAAACTAAAAATGTACGTGGATTCACTCATTTATTAAATAATGAGTGAACATATATTATGTACCAGGCACCATTTGGTTACTGAGACAAAATCCCAGCATTTAGGAAACTCATATCATAGCAGTATTGCATATGGCAATAATTGGAAGAAAATATACAAAAACAACAAATGCTAGGATAGAAATATTATAGGTAATCATTTCACCTCATTTTCAAAACTTCTTGTAATGGTATATAATCTTTATAATTTAAAGACTGTAGAAAATATAAGTCAAAGGCATGGGATTTTTAACTCACCTTTTAATGTTAACTAACTCCTTCTCAGTATTCTTAATACTTGTCTAAAACAATGAAAAAGACCAAAGTACTAAGTTAATATATGTACTGAAATTTCCTTAACAGATAATTCTAAAAGCTGTAAGCCCTCCCAAGTGATACCTTGCTCACTTCTGCCCAAGTCTGTAAAAATCTTTTAAATAGTTCACTGTCATCATCTTGATTTTCAGGAGTCATTTCTAAAGGCCCAGGAGGTAACAAAGGCTGTTATAAAAAAATAAGAAAATAAAGACTAAAATGAGAAAATGGGTTGATTATTGCTCTGCCCTAGAATGTAAGTTTTTTAGTACATTACTTTCAGTACCAACATAGGTGACACATCATTAGCATTCAAAAACAGTTGTTCAGTGAATGATTGCCAGGTGTATCCTGTAAACTAAGAACATATATTACCCTACTTAATCCTCATAACAATCCAGTGAATGAGATACCACATTTTAGAAAGATCTTTTTTTTTATTTAATTTTATTTATTTATTTGACAGACAGAGATCACAAGTAGGCAGAGAAGCAGGCAGAGAGAGAGGAGGAAGCAGGCTCCCTGCTGAGCAGAGAGTCCGATGTGGGGCTCCATCCCAGGATCCTGAGATCATGACCCGTAACCGAAGGCAGAGGCTTAACCCACTGAGCCACCCAGGTGCCTCAGATACCACATTTTAAAGAGATAATAATGAAACTTAGAGAAGTTACCTTGTCAAAAGTTACAATGCCAAGAACAAGAGTTGCTAGGAATGGATTCAGATTGGTTCAACTGCATTACTCAGAGTAAAGTTATTATTTTATGCCAGTGTTTTTTTAAATCACAGGTTGTAACCCATGCATCGTGAAATCATTTCAATGTATTATAACCAGCAATGTTTTAATGAAAAGCAAAGAATAGAAAATACAAAAAGTACATCACATGCAGTAAGTATTAAGTATCATTTCACAAGTGTTGCTTCAGTTGTGTGGCATTAATGAGTTCAATGTAAATATATCTACCATGGGTGGAGGCTTCAGAAATACTGGAAAGCTACTCTTCCCAAGCACCTTAATTTGCAATTAGCTCCCAAAGCACCAATCTAATTAGTGTTACCTTCTAAAGTATAATTAAGCACTTAGATAAAAGTATTAAAAACAGTGGGTGCACTTGAATAAAAAAAAAACATTAAAATATTTAGACAATAAACTTGGTAAGTAAAACTCTTTCTATTCACTGATAGTACAAAGTTATACTACAGCAAGGGACCATCACCATTATCACATATTATGGATTATTAATAACATTAATACTACCATTTATTGCTTACTTACTAAGCCCTTAACACAGTATACAGAACTTTACAGATACTGTTTCATTTAACTCCCACAAATCCTCTTTGAAATTTCTATACTGTTGCCACTTTAAATATGGGGAAACTGGGGCTCAGAAAGGTTAAGTAATTTACCCATAATTCCATAGCATGTAAGCCTGCAAAAATACAGAATTCAAACTAGTCTTTATGATTTTGAAATCTTACTCATTAAACAAGAATCAGTCAAGTATGTACTTAATGAAGTACCTATTAAAGAAATTTAATGACCTTTAAAATCTAGTTTCAAACATTTCAAATTTTTCAGTATTTTATTGAGTGATATATTGTTTTTGCACTTTCTTACATTTTCATCTGCAATTACTGTCGGCTGGGCTGGGGGTGCTGGTAATGACACTCCTGAAGGATCTACTTTTAATAATCTCATTGACCTTCTACATCCAGTCCCATTTTCTCTCTTCTTCGGCTTTTTCCTAAAGGAGTGAGGGAAAAAAATTCAAGTTATAAAACAGTGATCTGTATTTGTTAATATTAAGGAGATAACTTCCAGGAATGTATCTCATAGATATACTCACACATTACAAAAATATACGTACATGACTACACTGATTCTAACTGGACATTTATGCTTCCATGCTTTTAAATAAAATCCTAAATGTTCACCATGGAGAGGTGAGAGGTGTTAAAAGAAATCATGGTATACATCTCTAACAGAATAACATGCAAACATAAGAAGAATGAAATAGACCTTTGCACACTGATATGACATGAACTCTAAGATATATGAAGGAAAAACAAGGTCCAGTACATGCTGAATATGCTTCCATTTTTTTAAGAGAAAGGTTTGCACACACATGTATTTGTACATACTAAGATTAGCTATTAAAGAATATACATGAAACTACTAACAGTGGTTTCTTCTAGGGAGAAGGCCTAGAGAACTAAGGTCTAAAATGGAACAGAGATTTAAATGTTCCTTTGCATTTCCTTCCATATAGTTTACTTTTTTAAAATCATAGACGTACCCTACTTCTTTTGTGCACTATTTTTTCATTTTAAAAAAGTAGTTCAGGGGCGCCTGGGTGGCTCAGTGGGTTAAAGCCTCTGCCTTCGGCTCAGGTCGTGATCCCGGGGTCCTGGGATTGAGCCCCACATCGGGTTCTCTGCTCAGCAGGGAGCCTGCTTCCTCTCTCTCTCTCTCTCTGCCTGCCTCTCTGCCTACTTGTGATCTGTCAAATAAATAAAATCTTTAAAAAAAAAAAAAGTAGTTCAGAACTTCCAGTTTCCAGTTCCACAAATAAGGAACTTGAAATTCACCACCCTGTCTTTTCAAGTAAAAAGGTAAACAGATTAAAAAATCAGTAACTCTTCTAGGATCCTTAAGAGAAGCAAGGACACAGTGCAAATTGCTTTCTGTCCTCAATACTGGAGAGACAGACAAATATAAGGAGTCATGGCTTACTGGAACAGAAAGTCAAGAACAAAAACCACAATGGGAACCAACGCCAAGGCAGGAAAACCTGAACTGTACTGACCAGATGCTGGAGACTCAGCATGGACAAGTTAAAAACTCCAGAGTGGTCCACACAAAAACCTGCACATGGGTATATATAATAGCTTTATTCATAACTGTCAAAACTGGGAAACAGCCAAGATGTCCTCAACTGAACAGATAAATAAAGTACGGTACATCCGAACAATGGAATATTATTCAGCATTAAAAAGAAACAGGCTATCAAGCCATAAAAAGACATGGAGAAAACTTAAATGTCTATTACAAAGAGAAGGAAGTAAATCTGGAAAGGCTACATACTGTATGATTGCAAATACATGGCCTCCTATTAAAGGCAAACCAATGGAGACAAGAAAGATAACTGCCACAGTTGAGGGTGGTAAGTTGATGAACAGAGAGAACACAGAGGATTTTTAGGGTGGTTAAAGTACTCTATATATTATAATGATGGATATATGTCATTATACATTTGTACAAACCCATACAACACACAACACCAAGAATGAACTCTAAGGCAAACTATGGACTTTGGATGATTATGATGCATTAGTGTAGATTCATCCTTGGTAATTAATGTACACTCCACTGAGTGGTACTGATAATGGGGAAGGTTATGCATGTTTTGGGGGCAGAGGAATATACAGGAAATCTCTGTAGCCTCCTCTCAATTTTGCTGTGTAACTGAAACTGCTCTAAAAAATGTCTTTTTAAAAAAATAAACCCTCAAGGGGGACTCAGCCCTAGTATTTTGTGAGATTTACATCCAGAAACTCAACTAGGTCTTCAGTAAATATCAGAGAAAAATCCCCTCATGCTTCCCACAGGGAAGGGGAAAAGAAACAGGGAGGGGGAAAAGAACCATTTTGAAATACACTAGAGCACTATATTCTTCTTAACAAGGCCTGCCCTCAGGAGAACACCAGAGCCTAATCTGCTAGGGTATTATCAGAGTTTAACCTCAGAGAAAGGAAATACCCAACTCCAGCCCATTCTTACCCTCCTCTCCCACCTAACAGGGGAGGAAAGAAAATAAAACACCATGAAGTTCACAGCCCAGAAACAAAGGCTCCCTAAAAGACTGAGACTTGGGTGCCTGGGTGGCTCAGTGGTTAAAGCCTCTGCCTTCGGCTCAGGTCATGATCTCAGGATCCTGGGATTGAGTCCCACATCGGGCTCTCTGCTCAGCAGGGAGCCTGCCTCCTCCTCCTCTCTCTCTGCCTGCCTCTCTGCCTACTTGTGATCTGTCTGTCAAATAAATAAACAAAAAATCTTAAAAAAAAAAAAAAAAAAAAGACTGAGACCTAATCACAGGACTATAGAACAGCTTTCTCTCCCCTTCCACACATTACTAAAGGCCTATTTACAACAGTTCCTTTTTCCTAGTACATCATGTCCAGCTATCAAGAAAAAATTACAAGGCACAATGAAAGACAAACAACACAATTTAAAGAGAGCAAGCTTCTGGGGGCAGGCACCTGGGTGGCTCAGTCGTTAAGTGTCTGCTTTCCGCTCAGGTCATGATCCCAGGGTCCTGAGATCAAACCCCACATCGGGCTCCCTGCTCAGCAGGAAGCCTGCTTCTCCCTTTCCCACTACTCCAGCTTGTGTTCCCTCTCTCACCGTGTCTCTCTCTGTCAAATAAATAAATATAATTTTTTAAAAATCTACTTTAGGGGCGCCTGAACGGCTCAGTGAGTTAAAGCCTCTGCCTTCGGCTCAGGTCATGATCCCAGGGTCCTGGGATTGAGCCCCGCATCGGGCTCTCTGCTCAGCAGAGAGCCTGCTTCCTCCTCTCTCTGCCTGCCTCCCTGCCTACTTGTGATCTCTGTCAAATAAATAAATAAAATCTTTAAAAAAAAAATCTACTTTAAGTATAAAGACACATAAAGATTAAAAATAAATGAATGGATAAAAAATAGACCATGCTAAGACAAATGGAAAGAAAGCAGGAGTGACTATATTAATTTCAGACAGAACAGACTTCATAGCAAAGAAAGTTATCAGAGATAAAGAAAGGCATTACATAATGATAAAGGTCCAATTCTCCAAGACAGCATAACATAATGCACCTAACAACAGAAAATCAAACTATGTAAGGCAAAAACTAATAGAATTCCAAAAAGAAATAGGTGCCTCTACTATCTTAGTTGGAGACTTAAACACTCCCCTGTTACAAATGGAGAGATCCAGCAGGCAGCAAATCAGCAAAGGCACAGATGAACTTGACATATACCATCCATAAACTAGATAAAACAAACATCTACAGACCAGTTCATTCAAAAACAGAATACAAATCTTTAAAAAAAAAATTCTTAAAAAGAAAAGGGGGGTGGGTGCCTGGGTGGCTCAGTGAGTTAAGCATCAGCCTTCTGCTCAGGTCATGGTCCCAGAGTCCTGGGATGGAGCCTACATCAGGCTCCCTGCTCCATGGGGATCCCGCTTCTGCCGATGCCTCTCTCTCTCTCATGAATAAGTAAATAAAATCTTTTTTAAAAAATTTTTATCTCAAAAACAAAATACATTTCCTCTCAAGCTCAGATGGAACATTCACCAAGGCAGACCACATTCTAGACCATAAAACACACCTTAACAAATTTAAAAGAATAGAAATTTTAAAAAGAAGAAAATTTTACAATGTTTGCTCTCAGAACACAATTGAATTAAACCAGAAGTCAGTTAAGATAAAGATACCTGGAAAACCCAAAATACATACAAATTAAACAACAAATAATACATGGGTTGAGGCGCCTGGATGGCTCAGTTGGTTAAGCATCTGCCTTTGGCGCAGGTCATGACCCTCGCATAGAGACCCTCATCAGGCTCCCCTGCTTGACAGAGAGCCTGCTTCTCCCTCTCCCTCTGCCTGCTTCTCCCTTTGTGTGTGCTCGCACTTTCTCTGTCAAATAAATTTAAAAAATCTTTAAAAATAAAAAAGAACAAAAAACAAAACTAATCCACAGTACTGATTATATGAAAGCATTTTGTGTACATTTGCATTTTTTTTCTTATCTTTTCATCCTTACTTAGGTTTCCCTGATCAAGACAATCCCAAGTTCCTGTTTTCTTCTCTGCAACTTCAGGAATTCTATCACTTTTTCAGTCAGGTGCCTCATTATACTGACCCCAAGGCATCCTGAATGAGACTGGGATGATTCTAAGGATCATCACTAAGTGAAATAGAATCCTCCCCAGTTCTGTTCAGGCTCATGTCCTCTCTACCACTGCAACCCTTCAAACAAGTTATTAAAACATCCTCCAGGTAATTAACTTGTCTTCTCACCCCACCCTGGAAAATATAGGCTCAGTCCATGGTCATCCATTGGAACAATCCAATTCAATGAAATAACACATACAAAGGCACCGCGTGGCTCAGTTGGTTAAACATCTACCTTCGGGCCAGGTCATGATCCCAAGGTCCTGGGATCAAGTCACACCTCAGGCTCCCTGTTCAGTGGGGAGTCTGATTCTCCCTCTCCCCTGATTGTGCTCCCTCTTTCTCTCTCTCTCTTTCTCGATCTCACTCTCTCAGGTAAATAAATAAAATCTTTGGGGCACCTGGGTGGCTCAGTGGGTTAAGCCTCTGCCTTTGGCTCGGGTCGTGATCTCGGGGTCCTGGGATCGAGCCCCGCACTGGGCTCTCTGCTTGGTGAGGAGCTTGCTTCCCCCTCTCTCTCTGCCTGCCTCTCTACCTGCTTGTGATCTCTCTCTGTCAAATAAATAAATAAAATCTTTTTTAAAAATAATAAATTAAATAAATAAATAAAATATGTAAAGAAAAAAGGGAAGAAAACAATCTGTTAAATCTCAAAAGGATATAAAAAATATTTTTACCTAAATGAAAATGAAAACACAACCTAATAAAATATGTGGGATGCAGAGAAAGCAGTGCTTACAGGGAAATTTGTAACAGTGAGTCCACAGATTAGGAAAGAAGGTCAAAAATCAATCATCTAAGTTTCCAACTTAGGAACCTAGAAAAAGAAGAGCAAATTAATCCAAAGTAAGGAAAAGAAAAGAAATAATAAAAGTTGAACAAATCAATAAAATTAAAAACAAGAAATCACCAGAGGCAGAGTGATGGGGGGGGTAAATCAGCAAAACCAAAAGCCAGTTCTTCAAAAAAACCAATAAAATTTGGAGCACGTGGGTGGATCAGTTGTTTAAGTGTCCAACTCTTGATTTCAGGTCAGGTCATGATCTCGGGGTCTTGAGATCAAGCCCCATGTAGGGCTCCATGCTCACCAGAGTCTGCTTGAGATTCTCTCTCTCTCCCTCTGCCCCTCCCCTTGCTTGTGCTTGTTTGGTCTCTAATTAATTAAATAAATAGATAGATAGATAGCAACAGGGGTGTCTGGGTGGCTCAGCCAGTTAAGCATCTGCCTTAGGCTCAGGTCATGATCTCAGGGTCCTCTCTGCTCAGCAGCAAGTTCGCTCCCTCTCCCTCTGTGATCTCTCTTGCTCTTTCTCATTCTCACTCTCTCTCAAATAAATAAAGTCTTAAAAAAATAAAAAATTAAATTAAATTTAAAAAGACCAATAAAATCAGAGTTCCTAGGTGGCTCAATCGGTTAAGTGTCTGCCTTCAGCTCAGGTCATGATCCCAGGAGTCCTGGGATCAAGCCCAGCATTAGGATCCCTGCTCAGTGGAGAGCCTGCTTCTCTCTCTCCCTCTGCTGCCACTCTGCCTACTTGTGCTCTCTCTGTGTCAAATAAATAAATAATTTTTTTTAAAAAGACCAATAAAATCAATAAACCTCTAGGGAAGGCTAACTAATAAAAAAAATTACCAGTATCACAAAGGAAAGAGGGGTCTCACTATAGATCCAATGGACATTAAAAATAAAGATAAAGGAATGATATGAACAACTCTATGCCCACATATTTGATAACCTAGATGAAAGACAAGTCTTGAAAAAACTCAACTACTAAACTCACAATCTGAATTAGAAATAGATAATCTGAATAGGCTTACACCTATTAAGGAAATTATACAATAATTAATAATCTTCCAAAACAAAAAGCACCAGGCTGACATAGGTTCACTGGTGAATTTTACCAAACATATAAGAAAGAAATTATACCAATTCTCTACAACCTCTTTTAGAGGATAAAAGCAGAGAGAATCTTACCTACCTCATTCTAGAAGGTCAGCATGACCCTAATACCAAAACCAAAGATATTATAAAAAATAAAACTACAGACCAATAATCTCTCATGAGCAGATGCAAAACCCTCAAAATATTAGTACAAGGAACCCAACAATGTACAAAAAGTATTATAAGCCACAACCAAGTGGGATATATTCCAGGTATGCAAGATTGGTTCAACACTCAAAAATCACTTATTGTAATCTATCAAAAAATCATTCAATGTAATCCATCACATTAATAAGCTAAAAAAGCAAAATCACACGATCCCATCAACTAATGTAGAACAGGCTTCTAACTAAGTCTAACACCCATTCATGATAAAAAAATCTCAGTAGAGGGGAACTTTCTCAACTTGACAGAGGGTATCTACAGAAAACTTAGAGCTAATGTCATACTTAAATGGTGAGAAACACCACGCATTTCCACCAAGATAAGGTATAAGATAAGATGTCCTCGCTCACCATTCCTTTTCAACCTTATGCTGGAAGTTCTAGATAAAGCAATAAGACAAGAAAAGAAAATAAATGGTACACAGATTTGGATGAAAAAATAAAACTATATTTGTTCAAGAGTTTCCAGGTTGGGGACACCTAGATGGCTCAGTCAGTTAAGCATCAGGCTCTTGGTTTTGGCTTAGGTCCTAATCTCGGAATCATGAAAACAAGCCCCAAGTCAGTCTCTGCACTTGACATGGAGCCTACTTAAGATTCTCTCCCTCTCTCTCTGCCCCTCCCCCTCCTCACATGCACGCTCTCTCAATAAATAAATTTTTTTTTTAAATAAAAATAAGAGTTTCCAGGTTGGTGAACGCATGGATGTGGTGGGAGAATGGCACTGAGAGAGTATTCTGAGAGGGCATGGACGCTCTATACCATTTCCCCATGCCTTGCCCTATGCATCTCTTCCTTTAGCTGTTCTAAGTTATATCCTTTTATAATAAACCAGTAATCTATTAAGTTAAAAAAAAAAAAAAAAAAAAGCTGGGACACCTGGGTGGCTCAGTTGGTTGGGTGACTACCTTCGGCTCGGGTCACGATCCTGGAGTCCCGGGACCAAGTCCCACATCAGGCTCCCTGCTCCTTGAGGAGTCTGCTTCTCCCTCTTACCTTCTTCCCTCTCATGCTCTCTCTCTCTCTCAAATAAATAAATAAATCTTTTTATTTTAAAATTTTTTTTAATTAAAGAAAAAAAGCTGCAAGGGCAACTGGGTGGCTCAGTTGGTTAAATGTCTGCCTTTGGCTCAGATCATGACCCCCAGGTCCTGGGATCGAGCCCCACATCACGCCCCTTACTCAGCTAGGAACCTGCTTCTCCCTTCCCTCTGCTTGCCACTCCCCCTGCTTATGCTCGCTCATGCCCTCTCTCTCTGCGTCAAATAAATAAATAAAATCTTATTTTATTTATTTATTATCTATTATTTATATATTATATATGAGCTGCATTTGCCTATAGATGACATGATAGTCTATGTAGAAAATCTTTTCAACAAATGGTGCTAGAACAAATGGACAACCACATTTTTAAAAAAAAATATCAATCTAGGGGCACCTGGGTGGCTCAGTCAGTTAAGCGTCTGCCTTTGGCTCAGGTCATGATCATCGAGCCCCGCATCAGGCTCCCTGCTTAGCGGGGAGCCTGCTTCTTCCTCCCTCTGCCTCTTCCCTGGCTCATGCTCACTCTGTCTCTCTCACTCAGTCTCTCCCAAATAAATAAATAAATAAATGATCAATCTAGACACAGCTTTACCTCCATCACAAAATTAATTCAAAATAGATCACAAATCTAATGTAAAATGCAATACTATAAAACTTGTAGAACAGAAAATCTAGGCGACCTTGGGTATACCAACGGTTTTTGGAATAAAACACCAAAAACACAATCCATGACAGAAAAAATTGATGAAGTAAACTTTATTAAAATTAAAACTTCTGCTCTGCAAAAGACACTATCAAGAGATGAGAAGCCAAGCCACAGACTGGGAGGAAATTTGCATACAAGACGCATCTGATAAAGGGCTGTTATCCAAAATATACAAAGAACTCTTAAAACAATAAAAAACAAACAACTTAATTAAAAAATGAGCCAAAGATCTTAACAAATAGTTTCACCAAAGTAATATACAGCTAGCAATAAGCATATGAAAAGATGCTCTAGCTCATATTATCAGAGAAACAGAAATTAAAAGAACAATGAGATATACCAATACATACTTATTAGAAGGGCCAAAATCCAGAACACTGGCAATAGTAAATGCTCGTGAAGATGTGAAACAACAGGTTTAAGATTACAGTTTCTATTATTTTACCACGGTAACCATTCTTTCAAATTATAAATAACTCAGTAATACATCATGGTATAAGCACTGTAAACCAAATCTTTTACCTTTTGGATTCAGGAGGCTGCCTCTTTTTTATCATTTCACGGAGCCTTGCAGCTGACTGCAAAATATACAAAACATACATGTAAAGATACTACCTTATAAAATATTAAGTAAGCTGTTTTATCAACACTGAACTAAGATCTATATAGGAAATAAAGATCCTTAAGATACAATACATGCTCTTGGTAACAGACATGAGATAAATAAACCATGAATAATAAAAGTAAGTAAATAATAACATCTAAAGAACTGGAGCCCCTGAGGGCTCAGATGGTTAAACATTAGACTTGAACTGAGCTCAGGTCTTGACCTCAGGGTCAAGAGTTCAAGCCCCATATTGTATTTACATTCTGATACCTTGGACCAGGTTACTAATGAGTTTACATGATTGAACATTAAACATTTAATCAAATATACTATTATGAATTAAAATGTTTAACTTCTGCTACAGGCAATTCTATTTTGATATTTTCCAGAAAAGTTGTATTACACTTCTATAAATCAAATCATAATTTCTGGTAACTAAAATCAAAATCAGAGTTTCTTTGTCTAAATTTCTGATGACTTTTCAACTTTTAGTAACTTAACAATTTAGTCCCTTATATTAAGTTACCCATCCTTCCCTCAAGATGCAAACACATGCTGAATATTTGAGAATGTGTAATCAAAGATATCAAGTAATTATTTAATAAAGCCAAGGGCTTGTTACCTTTTGAAGGAAAATATCACACACCCTCCTGAAAGGCTACCTCACACAGGGTGATCTCACACACAGAAGTTTCACCCGCAGTGTGAAGACATAATGTAAATTACACATTTAGTTATGATTATAAAACATTACCATACATTGGCCATTTATCCTTTAAGATTCTGAATTTATTACCATTTTTGAAAGCTCTTATTTATTTATCTGATGGATAGAACACAACCAGGGGCAGTGGCAGACAGAGGGAGAGAAAGCAAGCTCTCTGCTGAGCAGGGAGCCTGACGTGGGGATCCATCCCAGGATTCTGGGATCACCACCCAAGCCAAAGGCAAACACTCAACCAACTGAGCCACCCAGGTGCCCCTGGCCATTTATCCTTAAAGCTCACTATACAAAACATATTTTCATCTATTCTTTAAGATTTAAAAAAAAGACAGGCGCCTGGGTGGTTCAGCTAGTTAAGTGTCTGCCTTCAGTTCAGGTCATGATCCCAGGGTTCCCTGCTCAGCAGGAAGTCTGCTTGTCCCTCTCTCTTTGCCCCTTCCCCCACTTCTACTCATGCTCTCTCTCCCTCTCAAATAAATAAATAAATCTTAGGGAAAAAAAGGATTGGGGGTTGGGGGGAAGGCTTGTCCTCTCACTCCTTTACCACAGATCCCTCAATCTATTCCTCCTATTTCTCCTTTATCCTTTAGAGGTAAAGCAACCACTTGGAACATACCCTGTTCCCCTGAATCCAAGACAACCATTCATAAGACACCATTATCTTATGCACCAACAAAAGGAAGAGCTGCCAGTTACAGTTTCAAGATGTCAATTTCAAAAGCATTAAAATGAAAAAAATTAGAATCAATAAAATATGGTAACCTCCTCTTACTAAACACAAAACTCAGTCCTAATTTTACCCTCCCTTATCTTATATATGAAACCTGATACTACGAGTATTTTATTGACCTATGGGCAAGAGGAATGGCATCTTGCTCTTAATTAGAAATTCCACACAAACCTCAGACAACTGAAGAGAAGCAAAAAAGTTTGCATTTTCTGATATGTTCTTCAGTCTCTTCCTTTCATACGGTGACAATCCTGAAAATTCATCCTATGAAATTACACCAAAAAAAATTCTGTTACTTTGCATGATCCACAGGAAAGCACCTCAAAAAACTAGGTGTTGAATTCTCAAATGTATACTTTCCTTCAAATAGTACCTGCTTTACTCATTACATGCTTTCTTACCAATTTGCACACAATCTTTGCTGCACTGGATACTGAATGTAAGAGTTTGAATTTGGGATAATCACAAAGTATCTACATGGCTTCCCAATTAAATAACAAGGGACATAACAGAAATCAAGTAGTGTACACTAAAAGCAAATTATTTCCTACTGGTCATGAATTGTACCATTACTCACAGTTATCTTTTTATTAAACAAAAAGAGAAATCAGTAACATAAAATTTTAAAATTCAAAGAGTTAAGGAAACTTAGATAAAAGAACAACAGGCGCGCCTGGGTGGCTCAGTGGGTTAAAACCTCTGCCTTTGGCTCTGGTCATGATCCCAGGGTCCTGGGATCAAGCCCCCAATTGGGCTCTCTGCTCAGCAGGGAGCCTGCTTCTCCTCCCCAACCCTCCCACCCACCCCGCCCCACGCCTGCCTCTCTGCCTATTTGTGATCTTGTCTGTCAAATAAATAAACAAGATCTTTAAAAAAAAAAAAAAAAAGAGAACAACAACAACAACAGAGATAAAGGCACAGACAGAAAAGACAATAAAACCAGACGATTGGGGCGCCTGGGTGGCTCAGTGGGTTAAAGCCTCTGCCTTCGGCTCAGGTCATGATCCCAGTGTCCTGGGATCGAGCCCCACATAGGGCTCTCTGCTCAGCAGGGGTCCTGCTTCCTCCTCTCTCTCTCTGCCTGCCTCACTGTCTACTTGTGATCTCTGTCTATCAAGTAAATAAATAAATAATCTTTAAAAAAAAAAAAAAAAAAAAACAGACGATTAAGCTCGGAGGTCCAATATCCAACTAACAGTTATAGAGGTAAAAAAGAGCAGAGAAAATGGAGGAGAAAGTTATTAGAGAAATAATATAAGAAGGTTTCTCGAAACTAAAGACATGCATTTCCACATTAAAAGAACCCAATGAGTATGCAGAACAACAAATGAAAAAAGACCAAAGCTTACACACATCACAAAATTTCTTAACACCTGAGGTAACTAAGGTTGAAAAAAAAAAAAAAAAGTTTGCAGATAAAGGTAAAGGATCATGAAGAGGGGCGCCTGGATGGCTCAGTGGGTTAAGCCTCTGCCTTCGGCTCAAGTCATGATCTCAGGATCCTGGGATCGAGCTCCACATCAGGCTTTCTGCTCAGCGGGAGGCCTGCCTCCCCCTCTCTCTCTGCCCGCCTCTCTGCCTACTTGTGATTTCTCTCTGTCAAATAAATAAATAAAACCTTTAAAAAGAAAAAAAGATCATGAAGAAACAAGAATCAGAATGTCACCTTTCAATACTGAGGGGAGCTAGAAGACAATGGAAGAGTGTATTTAAAGTTTTAAGGAAAAATTACTTTCAACTTACAATTCTAAACCCAGTTAAGCTATCAATCAAATGTTTATGTCAAAAGCATAAACACTTTTCAGACATGTAAATTACCTCTCCTACACCTTTTCTCAGGAAGTTATAAGCTGCACTTCAAAATAAGAGAATAAACTTTATTTTTTTTAAAGATTTTATTTATTTATTTAACAGACAGAGAGATCACAAGTAGGGAGAGAGGCGGGGGGGAAGCAGGCTCCCTGCGGAGCAGAGATGCGGGGCTCCATCCCAGGACCCTGGGATCATGACCTGAGCTGAAGGCAGAGGCTTAACCCACTGAGCCACCCAGGTGCCCCAAGAGAATAAACTTTAAAAAAAGATCCAAGACAGTATCCAGTGTACAGAAGTTCCAGATCAGGAATGATAAAAGAAATCCAAAGGAAAATGGTAAAAGGAAGGCCAAGAAAGGGTTAAACAGTCCAGAATGAAATAGGAAGATGGAGGTGCTCAGGAAATGTTTCATGAAAAAAACCATATAGATATGAAGCCATAAAAATTCTGTTACAACTCTGCTAAGCTTAGGCTATACCGAGTAAGGATGTGAGAAAGGGAAGGAGTGGATAGGCACATATGTGTATAAGGTGTAGCACGAATGAAACAAGTCCTCATCTTCCATATTAAATCAACAGATAATATGGAAGGGATAAAAGCTAAAAAGGCTCAAAGTATAATTTGTCTACTGGGCAGCACCAATCACAAACAGAAAAGTTATGTGGCAGAAAATTGCTAAGTGTTCTGATTTGTTTCTGAGTATGTATGTGTGCGCATATGGAACTACCTTTCTGTGTGAATACATATACACATACAATTGTGGGATTGTATGACTTATATGTGGATGTACATGTATGTATTACTTTGACCAAAATAAAAAATAGTCCTCACACACACAAAATAATAGTGGCAGTAAAGGTAAAAGTTTTATTGTGTCATTGCCTTTACAAATGCTTTTCAGGGAAAAACATCACCACCACCATCATCAAGGACTTCCTAAGATTCTATTTTAAATCAAAGAAACAAAATTAAATGATTATACTTACCAAAGAAACAATTAAGAAAACTAAGAAAAATAATCAGTATTTTTAAGTGGTATGTGTAATTCAAACCATTTTTACCCATCTCAAAAACTTGCAACATATAACAGGAAGACCAAGCAAACAACCTCAGAAAAAGTGGGCTCTCGAAGTAAACATATGTAGGAAATAAACATTTTTTAAAACTTCATTATCTTCAGAAACACTTAAGAAGTTACTGTATCCATAAAACAAGGGGTCATGTGTTTTAAAAAAAAATCAAAGAAGTAACCTGAATTTAAAACTTGCCTGATGCCAAAAATTCACAAAATGTATGAATCCATTTACATAACATTCTCAAAATGACAAAATTGTAGAGATAAAAAACAAATTAGCAGTTGCCAGGGCCTAAGAAGAGTGAGAGGGAGGGCTATAGGCCTAACTACAAAGAAGTATCTTAGGGTGCCTGGATGGCTCAGTCTCTAGAGCATGCAACCCCTGATCTTAAGGTAGTGAGTTCAAACCCCACACTGGGCCCTACTTAAATTTAAAAAAAGAAAGAGCCCAAGGGAAATTTTTGTGGAGATGGAATATTTCTGTATCTTGATTATGGTGATAGTTACAGTAATCAACAGTAATCAACTTTGATAAAGTGACAAAGAATTATACACATGCCTTGTATGATGTGAATTTCCCCATTATGATACTGTGATATAGTTATATAAGATGTATCCACGGGGAAAAAGTGGGTGAAAGGTACATGATACCTCTCTGCACTATTTCTGCAAATTGTTATACATCTATAATTACTTGGAGATAAAGATTTTTTGAAAATAGATGTTTCTCACAGCTAACAACATACTTAATGGTGAAAGACTGAAAGCTTTTCCCCTAATGCTCAGGAACAAGAAAATATGTCTGCTTTTGCTACTTCTATTCAACAGTATACTAGAGATTCTAGGACAATCAGGACAGCATGACTAGAAAAAAATAATATTAAAAAACATTCAGGGGACGCCTGGGTGGCTCAGTTGGTTGGACGACTGCCTTCGGCTCAGGTCATGTTCCTGGAGTCACGGGATCAAGTCCCGCATCGGGCTCCCAGCTCCACGGGGAGTCTGCTTCCCTCTCTGACCTTCTCCTCACTCATGCTCTCTCAAATAAATAAATAAAATCTTAAAAAAAAAAAAACCATTCAGACTGAGGGAATCCTGGGTGGCTCAGTCGTTAAGCATCTGCCTTCAACTCAGATCATGATCTCAGGGTCCTAGGATCAAGCTCTGCGTCGGGCTCCCTGCTCCACAGGAAGCCTGCTTCTCCCTCTCCCACTTGCCCTGCTTGTGTTCCCTCTCTCACTGTCTCTCAAAGCAATAAAAAAAAACAAAAAAAAAAAAAAAAAAAAAAAAAAACCCAGATTGAAAAGGAAGAAATAAAACTATCTTTATTGCCAAAACATGATCTTATGTATAGAAAACACTTACGAATTCACACGAAAAACTAATAAGCAACCTCAGCGAAGTTCCAAGACACAAGATCAATACACAAAAATCAGCTATAATGGGGCGCCTGAGTGGCTCATTGGGTTAAGCCTCTACCTTCAGCTCAGGTCATGATCTCAGGGTCCTGGGATCAAGCCCCGCATTGGGCTCTCTGCTCAGCAGGGAGTCTGCTCCCCACCCCACCCCCCCTGCCTCTCTGCCTACTTGTGATCTCTGTCAAAAAAATAAATAAAATCTTTAAAAAAAAATCAGCTATATGTCTGTACACTAACAATGAACAATCAGAAAATGATTTTAAGAAAACAACACCATTCATAATAGCAGAGCTCTGTCGATTGAGCATCTAACTCGATATTGGCTCAGATCATGATCTCACAGTTGTGAGATAGAGCGCTGCTTCCAGCTCTGTGCCTCCACATGGATTCTGCCTGAGATCTCTCTCTGCCTCTGCCACAGCCACATCCCCCCTCCCACACTCAAATGTGTGAGCTTTCTCTCTCAAAATAAATAAATTTGAATTAACGACTTTTGGGGTGCCTGGGTGGCTCAGTTGATTTAAGCATCTGCCTTCAGCTCGGGTCACGATCCTGGGGTCTGGGATCAAGCCCCACATTGGGCTCCCTGTTCAGTGGGGAGTCTGCTTTTCCCTCTTCCTCTAACTCTCCCTCCACTTGTGCGCGCGCGCTCTCTCTCTCTCTCTCTCTCTCATGTGCTATCTTGAATAAATAAATAAAATAGATCACAAGTATGCAGAGAAGCAGGCGGTGGGGGGAGGGGGGAGAAGCAGGCTCTCCACTGAGCAGAGAGCCCCACGTTGGGTTCGATCCCAGGACCCTGAGATCATGATCTGAGCCGAAGGCAGAGGCTTTAACCCACTAAGCCATCCGGGCCTCCCTATATAAATAAAATTTTAAAGAAATAAAATAAAATCATTAACAACTTTTGTATGTCAAAGGACATTATTAAGAACATAAAAATAAAGTATAAAAAATGG